TTTTGTCCTAAAAGTCACCCATGGACAAGATGAACTCCATCCTCTACGTCTTAACTTCAGAAGCAAGAAGGAAGGATAGAAAAAAGGCTTATCTCCTAGTCTTTTAAGCAAACTTCGCCAAAGTACATCTTACTGGACATAATCTAGTCACGTAACTACATCTTTGTGAAAGAGGCTGGAAAAGATAATGTTTTAGCTAGGTACATTGCCCAAGACTTGTAACTAAGGAAAACAAAAACATTTAATATGGGGTAGCAACTGGAAGTGTCTATAAAAAACAAGAACCTAAAAAAATACTGGTTTCTAAATTGCAGCATTATTTTAAGTGAGATTTAAAATATGTGAGATTTAAAGCATGTGAAGCTCTTTCATAAATGTAGTGTGGATAAAATATAATAAAACTCAATAGTACTGTCCTTCTGCAATGGCATGGAGAAACACTGAAATGACACCCAGAATTTGGAGACAGGTTTATTTTACAGAGATGGATACTGATTAGAATCATTCCCAAAATATCAGACCCTGATCTCTGGTGGTCTAGGGCTTATATGGGATAAGCAAGAAGGAAGTACAGAGGCAGAATGGCTTGTCAGTTGGGGATTGGTTCTTATAATATGCTTCATAGTGACCAGATATACATCACAGTGATTAGCCGTTTCTAAGAAACAAAAGTAACAGGAAATGTAACTGCAACTACTACCTGGGCAACAAACAAACTGAAGTACACCGGCTGAGGAGGCATTTTCTGTTACACCTGTCCCCTCTTTTAGTTTCCCTGGCAAATCTTTGCTGAGCATATTACATGTGATCTTCTGAGACAAGGCCCATCTAGAAGCAGTAGCATTAGGGTTGTCAGGGATCCCAGGATGGGCCCTAGCCAAGGTCACCAAGATTGTCTTATTACAGAGATTTTCCCTAAATTGCTTTTAGGAAGAAACATAATTCAATCCCGTCTGTTCTGTAATGTCACTCTGGCAAGGTAGTTGGGGAGTGACTCTGACCTAGGAGAATGTCCAATGTGCCTTGGATGCTCATCAAATCTTGGTCAAGTATTCAACTGATTGTTCTATTCTCTTGGGAAAACCATCCATAGAAATCACAACTAATAACGGGCAGGGAAGCAAGGACTGGGGTAAGCAGCCTGAAAAGACACAAAAATCAAGGGGAATGCATATAGAGCAATCCTGTAAATTATGTCCTCAAGCTTCAACCATGCGTGGACTAGTCTGCATCCAGAGTGACCAGAGCAGGGCTTTGAATATGTCGTCTCTTCTGAATGAACCAGATAAATTCTCCAGCAGATCTAAGGGTGGATTTTTAAAACTTGTAGGGGTCACTTGAATTATATGTATGTGTAGGAGTGTCTACAGGTATAGCTGATATTTTAGCTAAACTTTTGTGGAGCTAGTTACAAGCTGTTTCTGTAGGGTTATGTTTTATTTCTATGTAATCTATCTATATATCCTTAAATGAAGAGAATCCATTATGTTGCATGAGGTCAGGGCCAGTGATACAGATGCTGAAGCTTGAGCTGGCTGCAGGGGTATGGAAACCAGCACAGTTGCTTGAACTTGCAGAAGATATGGTGAGAGCAGGTCTGGTGGCTGGTGTTGATGTTTCAGTCAGTTGGATCCCTGGACAGGGCTTTGGGCCTGGACCAGATTGTTCTGAGCATAGGTTTGGCATCCTTGGTGGCAGATTTCCAAACAGCAGCAGGAAGCAGTAGCAGGAGAGCTTTGGCCAAAATAACTTTGTCCAAGGTGACCATAGCATATCTAGCCTGTCGGACTCCATTCTTAACAGAGCTACAGTACTTTCATCCATAAACAGGGTATACTCAGCATCTGTGAAGGGGTTCATTACTAAGTCTGGTCAGCTAAAGAACAGTGTCTCAGTCAGTTCCAGGCAGTCCAGAGTTATTCAGGAGGTCTGGTACAGCATGTGCCATGTCAATAGTTAGGTATCAGCCTAAGGTGAGCTTGTCAGATTTTTTGATCAGAATGACAGTGGCTATTAGAGCACAGAAGCAAAGAGAGGAGGCAGCCATTAGCAATGTGATCCCCCAAGTATTTGTACTAGTAGGCCACTGGGCACTCCCAGGGTCTGACAGTCTGCTTGTCCAAAGAGGGTAAACAAGTTTTGAACCTCTGGGAGGTTGAGTCCAGGTCAGTTGACTTTTGAGTCCAGAACTGTGGTCTTTTTGAAGAGAGGATGGCTGAGAGGAGCCAACCAAAGGCAGAAGAAAGCATTCTTTAGGTCCACCAGGCAGGTGTATCAGCAGGCTGTGTGTGGACAAAGACTGAGGCAGCATGTAGAGGGCAGCTGTGGTGGCACTGACAGCTCAAAGATCTTGAACTGGCTTCCACAAGCAGGAACAGCGTGTTTTAGCAATTTGACAGTCTATAAACATTGTGTGGTTTTGAAGTCTCATTTTTTTCTTTCTTGAGGGGCCATGACAGAACTGGAAAGGACAGAGAAACAGGCTGTCTCAAAGAAAAGATGCTGGTGGCTTGGACAAATCTTTCATCAAAACCTCCTGGAAAATAGTGGGAGAGTTCCCAAACCCTTTGGGCAATTGAGTAACAGTCCAAAAGGGTGTATTGGTTAGGAAACAGAATGTAAGGTAATGGCTACATTGTTGATGACACGAAGATCTTGCCAAAGGTGATTAACAGTCTATCAGGCTGAAGTGTGGCTGGATGCCTGCTTGTGCTTCTCATGACATTTGACAGTAGTGGGGGTCACAGTGAAGTGGCATGGTTGATGGCCAAGCTCATAGGTGAGTCTTTAGCCCATACCTCTGTTAGGAGAGTTTTCAGAACTTCAGGATTGTGGTTATCTTTCTCAGGCTGATGCAGGTGTCATCTTCCTCTTGGGGAATAGTCAAACTTGAAAGTCCAGGGTTAAACGAGAGGGAGGCTGATTGGCTTGATGCATAGGAGACAGTCCAATCGCTTCTAATTGCAGTATGGGGACTGGTTTACATAGGAATTCAAGTTTGGTGAGATGTCCTCCCATACTGCAAGTTGGTGAATGGCAGAGGGGCAAGAGGCAAGAGTCCCAGTTGCCCCAAAGATGCAAACTTTTTGACAGAGGGCACTTTTGAAGGAAGAGAGTTCGGTTTCATTGTCTCCCAGGAAAGTCAGAGGTTTACCCCCGACCTTTGCAATGACTGCAAGCTCTGAGGAACCCAGTATGATAGAGTTCAGTCTGTCCTATCCATCCAGGCTTGACAGGACAAGGAGAGATTCAGCTTGAGGTGGACCTGGGTAGTCAGGTTCCCTTGTGTCTTGCAGATGGAGGGAGCATTTACTTTTTGTATCCATAGCCCTTATAACTCATAGCCAGAAGGTTTGGCCATGTATCAGACTGGATTTTCTTATGGACATCAGGTGCTTTTATTAGACTTCCGGGTAACAGTGGTTGATGGGCTTTTTGCCTCCCTTTTGATGTCTTTGAGAAGTGCTCAACTGAGTTGTTTCTAGGCAGAGTGACCTTTGGAAAGGACATGACAACTCATTAGTCAGGGCTCACAATCCAATTTTTCCTCAGTCAAACTGTGGAAATCAGAAGGAATTAGTAACAGGCATCTTTGGTGGGCATTAGACGACATCATCGGACCAGGATAGGCATAGCCATGAAGCAGAAGGTTTGGGTGGAGGGTCTCTGACCAAATGCAGGCAATGGCTAGCTGGAACTAGTTCAGTTCTTCAAAGTAGACAAGTCAGGAGTGGGAAATGAAGCTATAGGTGTTGGCAGCAACTGAGGCAGCCGAGGAGGGTGCCAAGGTGGAGTTCTCAGGAAGAATGGGCCTCTTTTTCCCTTTTTTTCCTTTGAGATACAGCAAGTGGTTTGGTTTCATTTTTTTAACTCTGTAAAATCCCTTTTTTCCTACAGTCAGGGACTGTGGATTTTGACTAATTCCCATCTCTGACTTCCTATGTGTGTGTTGTGTACCCTTGAGTGATGGCACAGCAGACAAAAGGTGGGTGCCCCTCGGAGACAGAGACCATTCAGATACCCACCTGGCCTTGCCCCTCACAGGAACTTAGGCACAAATTAGCTAAGGAGGGTGCACGACCTCCATTGTGCCACATGTCAATCACCATGGAACTACAGGTGAAGTCCCAATCAGCCACTGCAATCAGTGCTTCCAAGTCTTGGTGCACAGATGAGCAGCCTACTGCTCATGTTTTCCGGTCCACTCACATTCATTCAGTAAGCATTCAAGGGTTAAAACATTCCAACCCCCTTCACTGGAGGGTGGTCCCGACTAATAAGAGGTGATCAATCTCTCCTGCTTGAACTGAGCAGGACTGACAGACTAACTGGGGTGCCCCTGGGGGTTCTTATGGCAATCACACAGGTAGGCAAGCAGACAGACAGACTGCATCCTCCTCCCTTTGGGATCCAATGTGACCTCCTCAAGGGGGAGACAGGTATTCTCCAGACCTGCAAGGGGACTTGAGAAATCTCCAAGGCATATCATCTTGTCTAGACCTCGAGAGGTCCTTGCTCCATCTGCCAGGGCCACGACCAGTGACCAAAGAGGTCAGCATGGTCAGTCTTCCTGGCTGATGGACCAGATGCAATGGCAAACAGAAACACTGAAACGACACTCAGGATTTGAAGGCAGATTTATTTTATGTTGATGGGCACTGATTGGGATCTTTCCAAAAATATCAGGCCCTGATCTCTGGTGGTCTAGAGCTTATATGGGATAAGCAAGAAAAAAGTACAGAAGCAGACTGGCTTTTTAATTGGGGATTGGTTCTTACAATATGCATCATAGTGACCAGCCATACATCATCACAGTGACCAGCCTTTTCTAAAGAACAAAAGTAACAGGAAATGCAACTGGAACTATTACCTGGGCAACTACCAATTGAAGAATGCTGCCTGGGGGGGGCGACATTTTCTATTACCCTTCCATTCAGAGAGGTATTAATTTTGAATTAATGTTACTGAATAAACAAAGTCATGTTATATCTTTTTTTCAGAGTCAAAGACATGTTCAAAATGTTATATTTTACTTTCAAGTGCATAGGGAACAAAGTGCACTATACAGTAAGAAAATGAAGAGGCATGTTAGGAATTCTCAGGTGAGTGGTTTACATTGATGTTGTAATTCTAAATTTTGAGTTATTGAATCTTTCCAACAAGATTGTGTTTACTTCAGGCACATGAGAGTGGACTACTGGACAGAAACAAACATTGTAATCTCTGCAACATGAATTTCAACTCTGCAATCGTTGCTCAGTCTCACTATGTGGGAAAGGTTCATGCTAAAAAACTGAAGCAATTAAGAGAGAAACGTAATCAGGTACCTCCATCAGCATTTCAGCCAGAGAGAGGTAAGGTGCCTTTCATCTCTTGATTTTCAGGGACTATCTCCAATTCTGCGATCGTTTTCTTATTGGGGAAACTTTCATTTCAGTTGAAATAATCTTATTATTAATCTTCTGCTCTGTTAATCACTGTGTCCTTATCTATGGAGATTATAATGGATAAATTAATTTTAAGAAATGTTATAATGTCTTCCTTTCATTAAATCCAAATAAAATCATGTGATTAGCTATATGGGTATCAATAATAATGAGCTAGAGATTAGTCATTTTATAATAAAATTATAAAATCCTAGGTCTTCCTTAGTTCTTCCCCCTTGGCATTTTTTTACTATAGGGCTTTGCAAAACATTATCTCAAATTTGTGTTCAGATCAGTGTCTTTGCCATGATATAGTTATAGGTACAGCCTTTCCTGACTTCAACTGTAGGCAAAATTTTAAAAAGTAACTCAATCTTTTACCATGGTAGCCCATTTATTTTTTCCTGTAAATGTAAAGAAAAAGTACCATTAGCATCATCAATTAGTAGTTACTGTGTCTTTCTATTATATTAAAACCAAAAGATACTAGGAACTACAAAGCATTACCTCTTTTCTTCCTCCAGTGTTGTTGGACTACCAATACATAATGAGAAATCTGACCCAAAATTGCCTGAGATGGCAGAGTACAGCCTGAAAAAGACAAATGTTTCAAAAAATTTCTGTGCAAAACAAACAGTAATTTTTAATCTTCTGTAATAAATAATTTACCACATTCATAATTGCTTTGATCCTGTAGTACTAAGGCATACCTGGAAAACTCTATAACATTAATTTCCCACTCATGTAGGCATCACACAGAAAACATAGTGCCACACAAAATAGTATGAAAACTTGCTGTTTTCTTAATAAATGAAACCAGAGTTCATTTTTAAATTTACTCTAGTCTAATTGTTGTATATTTGTTTTTCTACTTAAAAAAATCTAAACAAGGACAGAATTACTGTGTCCTACAAGAGAATGCATTTTGTAAAAGCTTTGTCAGCAGTCCTCTAAAATTTGCCCTTAAGGAGAACAATAACTATGATTGTGAAAACCTATGTATTTTTATAGTCTTAATTGCACATATTTTATTCTGATTCCAATGTAGACAAATTTGACAGAATAGATGCCTTATTGTTTTACTTAAAGAAACCAGCTTAGGAGTTGCTATCATCTGTCTGACCCTCCCTAATTTCACAGAATTACCCTTAGATGGCTTTCGTGCCTTTATTGATTCCTCAAATGAATATATAGATAGTTCCTGGTGCAGAATATTCCTTCCTTCCCATGTCTTTATTGAAGAAACTTGGTTACACACTAGTATTGACATTTCCTCTACCACAAAAAGAAATTCTTTATACTTGAATGCCATTGTCTAACATCCCTTTGCTGAAAAAGTCCAAAGAGTATGAGTTTTTTATAGAACCCCGAATTTCTTTAATACTTTAAAATGGGTGCAACTCTAATATCTGAACACATATTAATCACTTGTCTTAATAACTGTTTAAGCTGGTGTGCCTGTTTCTGCTCCTACAGAGTCAACTTCTCTGAAGCTTCTTGCTGTTAAGCCTGCTCCAGGTGAAACTATGCCTTCCTCTTCTGGCAGTGCTCTGCATTTGAATAATCAAAGCACATATTCCAAACTCTGTACTGCTTCCTTTAATAGTCCAGTAATGGCCCACCAACATTATGCTGGGCAGGGGCTGGGGATTTAGCTCAGCGGCAAAGCGCCTGCTTGGCAAGCGCAAGGTCGTGAGTTCGGTTCCCGGTACCGGAGAAAAACAAAAAAAAAAAAAAAAAAAAAAAAAAACATTATGCTGGGCAAAAACACAGAAGAAATGTAGCTAGGAAGAGGTTTTTACACAGGATAAGAGAGAAACATCTTCCACCAAAATCAAATGCATATGGTAAACAGGAAAATTATCACAAAACTCCTTAATTGTGTGTTTGTATTTTATAAAATATACTATCTTACTTACATGTTATTTTATTCTTACTGATTGAGGGGTGCTATTCCTGGATTAACATAATTTTAGATAAGTTAGGCCCTTTAAGTCCATCTAGTTTGATGCTTGTTTTCTATAAAATGACACCAAGAATGGTTCACATCACCCTTTTTAAAAATCAAATATAGTTACTCATATGATTGAATATGATCTCAGATATATAAGGAAATATTTTAAATAAGTATCATGTGGTGAAGTCATTAATTCACTAAATACAGTTTAAGTATCTTTTTGGTGGTAGCCTTTGTAGGAATACAAATTGGAATACAGCCTTTTTGCCTGAAGAAGCAAGTACTTAGAATGTTTGGGTTAATAACACTTCACTGGAAGAAGCTACAGACATACATTTTATGTACATATTTTGGTAACTGGAGGAGTGAAACATCACTGTATAATCTTCATTGGTTTTGATTATTTTGGTTTATACAAGTGGGAAGGAGAAAGGATGATCAAAGCCCTTGGAGCTAAGAAAGAGTGGCAAGAAATTAGGTACAATATTAAGACTGATCCCAACTGGAATGATCCACTTGCTCCTCTAACCATATTTTTTCCATTTTCCCCCATAGGCACCTTTTCGCTACTAGTGTATTTTATTCCCATTTCATGTTCTCTCTTCCATCCACTTCTTTTCCTCAACTTACCGCTATTTTTTCATTTCTCTGTTTACTAGACCTTCCTGCTTCATGTAATAATGTTCATTATTTCCAACTTCTTGAAGCTCTATTCTCCTGTGTTCCTGGCTCTTTACATAGCTTTTACATGGGCTCTTTTTTTGTTCATTACCTTGATACAGGTATTTTCATTATTCCATTCTTGACCTTAAGAACATATTTCAATTTGTTCTCGTTTTCCTCTCTCATCTGTATGCTTGACCTTTCTGTCAGACTTTTGACTCACATACCTGAATGGTACCTAGTGACTCACCTGGGTATCTCAAAGCCATTTCAAGTTCACTTATCCAAAGTAGAAGCTTGTAGTTAATTGTGAATACTCTGTCTTACTGTCTCATCTCTGAGACACAATACCTGACACTCACAATTTAAAAGAAGACAAATTTATTTTGGCTCAGAGTTTGTAGAGGTTTCAGTCCATAGTCGACTGGCTCCAAGTCTGGGCAGCATGGCAGAGGAGGGTTGCTCATAACATGGCAGAAAAGGAGAGGGATTAAGGGAGTAGGTAGAGAGATAAACTCTTCCATTCCACCCCCACCCTGCTAGTGATACACCTCCTCCGACCAGGCTTTACCTCCCAATATCACGTTTACCTCCCAAATATCTGTGGCCTGTCCTCTACCTTTCAAACTCCTACGTGTATCTTCCTACTTAATACCCTTACGTGGAATCTCCCAGTTACCTCAGACTCTGTGTGCTCAAACTTGTACTCATACTACTTCACTTTCCCACTCCGTGACACAAGACTTTCTCCCGAAGATCCAGTTCCAGTTAATGGGATCGTCACCCATTTGCTTAGCAAACCAGGATTCTGCAAATTATTTTAGACTCCTCTGGATTACTTCCTCTCCTCTCATTTCAGTCGGTCACTGAGTTTAGCCAGTTTCGATGGTAAACATTTCACCAGTTTCCCTGTTCTTCTCTATGCCTACTAAGACCTCTCTAGTCCATGCCCTTATTATCTTTTGCCTAGTCTGTTATATAGTCCCTTCATGTTGAGATCTTACTCCCAGATTTGTTCTTTTTAAAGTCATTTTCTATATTACATTGAAAGGAGACATCCTTCTAAAATGCACAATTGGCCAAGCATGTTACTTAGTACTCAAACTACTTTAAAGAGTTCTAACACACAAGAAAATGGTCTAGGCTTCCTAACATATTAAGTCTCTCATCTGATCCCTTTTTGCCTCTCCCTCCGTCCCCTTATATTTTCCTTTAAAACAATGTCAAATTTTAAAAAAAGCCTATAAACACACCTGTGCTTTTTCTGTGCTATTTACTAAGCTTTTCTTGACTCTTTTTATCAAATTAACTATTTCTCATCTTTCGAAGTTTAGATCAGCCATCATCTCTTGGAGTAACCTTCTTTAGCCCTCCTTACCTGTACTAAGTGTTCCTGCATCATAGTGCTCTCATACCTCTTAAGTATACCTCTCTTACTTTTACCAAATGAGACTGAAATCCTTTGTTCAGTACCTCTTTTTCATATTGTAGTTGTAGGGAACCCTGCTGCTTCATACATCTTGTATTTCCAGTCTCTATCTTGATGCACAGTGCCATAAAGGTACCCAGTGTTTGTTGAACAGATTGTTTGAATTCAACACATCATGTTCAGTTCTCTGTCTGTCATCTATTGTTTTCATTCCAACATGCTCATATCTGCTTTTCTTATAGTTTACATCCTCTCTATCCTCCATGATATGTCACAACCTCCATCACTGCTTTAGCTTTTTGTGTTCTTTCCGTTCTCTGATTTTTTTATAGACTTTACCATTCATTGATAATTATATTAATTACAGCTCTGTAGCTGAATTACTCTCCTTGAGGCAAGGGATTATATTTTCTTCTGCAGTATACTTCTCAGTGTTTTATATGACAATGAATATGTAGTTTTTTTCTTAATGTTTTCTAATTGTTCATTGAAAAGCATTGTCATGTAGGGATAAAGACAGACCTAAAAATGTGTTAGAACTCACATGTCCAGTTGTGCCTCACAATGATCAAGTGTAAAATGAAAATAATGCAGCATCACAAGATTGAATAAAGATGAAATGAAATAATATCTATCATATATCTATACATACATATTACCCATCACAGAATAGGTTCTCACCAACTGTTATTTTATTAAAAATATTTTGTCCTCCTATCACAATTTAAACACAGGTAAATTATTGGACAAATTTTTGGTTTTTTTTTTCATAAGTCCCAAATTAAATTACCTTCATGTAGCACTCAAATTGGTTTTATTTCCCCATTTAAGATACTAAACCTGCAATTTTACAACCTTGACAACACAATAGAACCATGTGTTGCAAATCACAGTTCTCAGGCCATTCCTCTAATCAATTAAATTTTCCTTGGTACCTACACATAGTGTTCTGTTTTCTCTTCTTTAACACCCAGAGTGATTCCATTATGAAGCCACATTGAAAAGTATAATGTTAGACTACAAAGACATGTGCTTCCCAATCAATGCCTTGAGAACAAAGATCTTAGTTTAAAGAGTTAGGAGATAGTACTGGGATTAGAACATCAGTGGACCCCACAAATGTTAGGTTATAGAAGACTGTGAAAGATATGAGATACAAAAAAGCCTGAGTGAACACTGAACTCAGAAAAAGGCAATCCTAGAAAGGCTGAACATGGCCAAAGAGCAGTCAATGAATAAAATTCCTATGGTCACAAAAAGTATTTTTACAGTTTTTATATATTACTTCATAAGATTCCTGTATTTTATAAAAAAGATCAACAATGTGTGAAAGGCCAAAGGCTGAAGTAATTGTAATCACACAGTAATTCCAGAACTGCCTCTGGATTGTTCACACATGACTGGCAGCTCTTCTAAAGCCCTGTGTTACCTCTATTATGATGTAACTTGGGGAGAAACAAAAGAGGAACTGAATAGAAAACTGTGTACATCATACATTATAATCATAAACACTAAACAAATGCATAAAGCCTTTGAAAAATGATTGAGTTTATAGTCATCATGAACACCATTGAGTCAATCTCAGGCAGGTACTCAATAATGGTTGCACAGTAAAATTTGAAAAATTTTGCAAAAGCAAGTAAGCCGTGTTCCATCCCTAGAAAGTCTGTTTAACTGATTTGATGTAGAACTGTAGCATGAACATTTTTGTACATAATTCTAATAGGTAACCAGCATCTAGAAACACCTAGTAGAAACCAGGTCTTTGCGTTATGCTATGTAACTTGGGTGCACTCAAAATATATGGTATAGGGCAAGATAATATGAGCCTTAGTTTCATACAAAATGGGTTGCTATGAAGATTCACAGTCCCAGATGTAGTCCTTACCTTTGCAGAAAGTCCAGAAACTTCAGCTGATCAGCCTCAAATCAGCAAATCGTTAACTGCAAATAAACTTGAAAGACACTGATAAAGAAACAAAGAACTGGAAAAATATTCCCTAAGTATATTTTCCATTGTCTCTGATGACAATTACTTGGAGTATTCATTAAAAATTAATTCCCTCAGCTATACTACTGCTCGGTATATACCTAAAAAATTTGAAGTCAGCATAGTATAAACATATGTGTATACTTACGTTTATTGCAATAAACTCAGCTATGGAAACTGCCTTGGTTTTCCAAATACTGATGAATAAAGAAAGAAAATTTGGCATATATACATAATAGAATATTATTCAGCTAATTATAGAAAAGAATAAGATAATGCAGTTTACATCAAAATGGATGAAATATCATTATGTCAAAGTGAAATGAATCGTACTCCGAAAAAAGTATTCTGTGCTTTCCCTCATACAGATATTAAAAGAAAAAAAGGAGAAGTGACATGAAAGTAGAAAGAAGACTACTAGGAGAAAGGCAATCAGGGAAAGATCAAGGAAGGGAAAGAATGAGAGTGGGGTTGTATAGAAGTGATCAGAGCATGCTATATGCATGTATAAATATGCCAAAATCAAACACATTATTCTGTATAATAAATGAAAAACTTAACTCACTGTCCCTACCCCAGAACTAGTGAATCAGGTTCTTCAGGGGAAGGTCCTGGGAATCCGTATTTTTAAAATGAAGATCCCCCAAAGTGATTCTTATCAGAGATAAGTAAACATTGTCATTTAAGTTGTAACACCATTCTAGTATTTATTTATGGTATGAGGAGATACATGTTCCCACTTCCTACTTTTTTCTTGATGTCATCCAGAGTATACTTTCCTTGGTATAAAAGTTTATTGGAAAAAGTTTAATCAGTAAGTGACTTGGTGTGCCTGAAATTGACACAGAAGGATAAGAGGTAGTTTTGAGGAATCATTCATTCAAATTTTGATGTATCCTGCTGAGCTCTTCTGGTCCCATAGCTACAATATATGTCACTATTGAGCAATCTCAAGTCCTTTAAAGTCATCACCTTTCCCCTTGACAGTAGCCTCTTGTTTCCATGAATAATCTTTACTGAGGTAAGGTCAGTACATTTAATAATGATTAATTTAGTTTCCTTTAAATGATTAGGCTGCTGCTCTATTTAAAAGATGACCTTGGTTGTCTTCCAAATCACTACAGCACCAATTTATTGCCTCCTCCTTAGAGTAGAATTGCTTTTATATGTGACTTATTAATTGGCTTCTTCTGACCAAAGAGAAAGTGGAAAGATAATGAGGTTAAGAAAATAAAAAATAATGTATCCCCTGCTTCTAACACTGCATAAGAAGGAGAATAGTGAGGTAGATGTTATATACTTCTTGATTCTTTTGAAATGGTAACTAGCAGTTTTGTTTTAGAATTTTGCTTTCAGCTTTTATCTTGTTAGTGGGGCTCACTGGACCTTTCTCCTTTTTCAAATCTTTGGAAATTACTTTTGGTAGTTAGTGCACTACACTGTTTTCAGGTAAGAGAGCAAAAATTTTGCTTTTGGTTTTTTTTTTTTTTTCTTTAATTTGGAGGGATATTTCAGACTTTGGTTGAGTGGAGAATTAATTAAACGCAAACAAAAAGTTTGAGGGACTGAGTCAAGGATTAGTTAGACATTGCTAAATTTGAGGTGCCGCTGCACTCCATTTAGCAACAATTATAACAAGTGCATAGCTGATTCTTAGGGAATATACCATGACTAGGGAAGGAGTGCAGTGTAAAGAATTCCAGGCAGTCTAAGAGGCTAACACTGTTAAATACCTCTCTTACTTTGATTACTTTCATTCGACCTCAGTGGACCCAATCTTTATTGGAAAATTTGAAGAACATCATGTTCAAAAGTTCTATTCCAAGTCAGATATGTGAATTTCAGTATGTCCATGCTAAATATCTTAACTTAAACTCTGTTTTTGCAGCAGTTAATAGGAGAACCTATTTTTGCCAGATTTGTAAACTCACCTTTACATCTTTAGATATGTTCCGGAAGCACACACAGAGAAGTGGGCATCAGATTAAGTAAGTGTTTCCTTTTTAATTTGCCAAATGTTCCCACAATACCAAATATCAGAGCTTCTAGTCGAGTACCATTTTATATATTTTACAAACTTTGTTAGATATTCAGTTCCTATGGGTTAAACCTGGATATGATTGGTGGTTTTTGTAACATATTGTACATCAGTATCACCAAGGGAGTTCTCTAGTCTTGATAATATACTGCAGAGCTAGCTAGTTGGTACCCATCTTGATCAGACAGCATAGTCCTTCTTTGGTGACATGCTGAAGGGTCATTCTCAAGCTAACATAAAAATTTAAAGCATCTCTAGAAGATTGGCTTATAGTGTTTCAGTCATCCAGTCATCATTCTGCCAGTGAGGTATAGTGGTTGAAAACAAAGCTCTAAGATGAGTGTAAACACTCTCTACTCCAAACATGTACGATTAAAAGGAATATTAAAAAATCAAAGGTCTAGTCATTAGACATAAATCAAAATACCAGTTCCATATTTTGACCAATTGTTATTTTAGACATCTGTGAAATAATACCGTCATAAGGAAATATAAACATATGTACAAAGTGCCTGGCCTGGCCCATTACAGGAGCTCAATAAATGTTTAGTCAGTTCTATTTTAAGGAAAGGAGAATTGAGTAGACACTTGAAGAGTGGCTAAGTCACATCTTAGGGCAAAGTCATCTAGCTGTTGTATATGTGGTTTATCACTTTTAAAAGCAGAGTATCTCTGGGGCTGGGGATTTAGCTCAGCGGTATAGCATCCGCCTGGCAAGCACAAGGTCATGAGTTCGATTCTCAGTACCAGAAAAAAACAACAACAACACCAAAAAAAATTAGAGTATTTCTGTTACTTTATTATGGGAGAAAGTACATTAACTCTGAATACATAAGAGGTAAATAGTCTGACTCACCAAATTAACCTACTGTTAGCTTTAAAAAGAAAGGAACTCAGGCTCCATAATAAATAACTCTCACATCTGTAAATCTATATAAGAAATTCACTAACCAAAACTTTGAAAACATCATGACATTTAGATCAGACCATCTATTAGGGCATTAAATATTAATGCTCCTAATTCACATGTTCTCTACGTTCATTACCACTTTTAGTATAATAGCAGTATCAAGTAACGTCTACATCTTTATGCCTGTCTTCCCTTTTATCCCAGGCCTGTAAAAATTTTCTTTGCATAAAAATTGCATGGTGCCTGGAAGAAACCTGACAAACTCTGCAATCACTTTTTATGCTTTTTAGCATAAAATGTCCTTGTTTTTTTATCAGATTATTTTGTACATGTTTGCACTACATAATGATTATATTCATCATAGAGAATCGGTATTTTTGGTTGAGATTTTTTATTAATGTATGTATGTGATACATAATAAATATATTTACTGTGGGCAATTGGTATATATGCATGTCACATCTTCATACATTTTACGCCCCCTTCCCCGTGTCTCTGTCTCATCTCACCCCTCCTTAGATCCCCTTTCCATCTCCTCAAAGCCTATCTCCCTGTTGTCTTCTATGTGGATCTTTCAAGTATTTATAGTTTGAGTTTCTTATCTGAGAGAACCCAAGCAATGATTAACCTTTTGTGTCTGATTTATTTTACTTAGCAACATGGTCTTAAAATTCCATCCACTTTTCTACAAATGACACAAATTTATTCTTTCTTATGGCTGAGTACTATTCCATGTGTATATATGCCATATTTTCTTTATTCACTAGTCTGTTGATGGGCACATTCAAATTTAACTATTAGGAGTTTTGCTGCTGTTAGCATGGGTATGCAGGTATCACTGGAATATGATGTCTTTATCTCTTTTGGGAACATACCTAGAAGAGGTAGAGCTGGGTCAAATGTAATCCCTATTTTTAAGTACTTGAGAAATCTCCATACTGATTTCTGTATTGTTGATTATAGTGTACATACCCATGATCAATGTAGAAGCATTCTTTTTTCCCCACAATCTTGCCAGAATTTGTTGTTCTTGAATTCTTAATGATAATCATTCTTAGCGGAGCAGGATAGAATCTCAGAGTTGTACTGATTTGTGTTTCTCTAGTGGCCAGAGATATTTTTCATCTACTTATTGGCCATATGCACTTCTCCTGAGAAGTGTCTATTAATTTAAATTGCCTATTTTTATCTTTTATTTTGAGAGGTCTAATTTTTTGAGTTCTTCATATATTCAGACATGATGGATGGAACAGAATTGAGAATGTAGAAAAAAGTCATTTGTATGTATTACATAATGAGGTAGGTTTTAAAATTTTATTTTGGCTTTTGTTGATTTTTTAGAGTAATATTTTGGGAGCAAAGAAAATATTCTATAAAACATTCTAATAATAACTTTTTACTGTCTTCTTTGCAGAGACTCTCTTGCCATCAATCTAGTGAAGAATACAAAGAGACAAGATGGTTACCAAAATGAACGTGCAAATTACATCAAATTTCAGAAATACAGGAAATTACAGTCCAAGACTCATTTCCGAAGAATGGAAGAAAACCCTTTGGAAGCTCTTAGGTCCAGGAGAATGGTTGATTCCAGAGTTAGTAATAAAATACTTGAACACAGATTCCCATTTGATACTTGCCAGCTAAACCCAGGACTGTACAATAAGTCACAAGCAGTAGGAAACCAGTTACCTTATTACTCACCAGCTCATTCAGAGAAGACACATGACTCTTTCCAAGATGAACTTGAAGACTATATCAAAGTGCAGAGAGCTAGAGGGCTACATCCACAGACTTGTTTTAGAAAGATGAAAGAAAATACAGTGGACTTTGGCCACAGAGAAATGTTTGATTTTGGACCCAGACGAAAAACGTGTCAGCAAAGTTCTTCATTTGAGACTTTCCATACCTCCCAACAGCCATACAGTAGCTCCCTGGAGGAGGGTCTCTTACCTCATTGGTTACCAGCTCATTCACAGAGGACATATAAGTCTTTTGAAGATGAGCTTCATGATTACATCCAACTGCAGAAAGCGAGAGGATTACAGCCAAAGTCCTGTTTCAGAAAGACAGTCAGTAGCTCTGGGGAAACTCCCAGGTACACAGAAAGGTCTGACAGTGGACCCAGATATAAAATGTTTGAGCAAAGACTCCCAGCTGAAAGCTACCAGAGCTACACAAGCCCATACCGTAGTTCCCAAGCAGTGGAAAACCAGTTTCTTCATTGTTTACCAGTTCATGGCAGCAAACAGACCCTTGTGAGCTATCAATTCACTAGAGGCTATTTTCCAGAAAAACCAGTACCTCTGAGCTTTAGTCATCAGGAAAATAAGTCTGTCCCGTACAGTTCAGAATGCAAAGTTTACAAGCACTTCTCTTCAAAAATCCATACTAGTGACCCTCAAGAAAGTTATAAATGGCAACATCAGAAGAGACAACGGCATGTGGAGAAAGGCAAAGAAAGACCAGAGAAGGAGCAGTCCAAGCATAAAAGGAAAAAGAGTAATGAAGATACGGATTTAGACAAAGACAAGAACATCCACGAAAGTAAAAAGAAGGAAGAAAAAATCAAGGTCAGTTCGGGAAAGCTTAAGCATCGAAAAAAGAAAAAAAGCCATGATGTAACTTCTGAAAAACAACCTAAGCACAAGAAAGAGAAGAAGAAACGTGTTGAGGAAAGGACTGTAGAGGAAATTCTTTGGGATGAGTCAATTCTTGGATTCTGAACTTTCAGTTTATCCAAGGATTATAAAAAGGAAACAGGATAAAGTTAGATAAAGACAGGAGCATCCAACAAAAAAGGAGTGATAGATAGTGTTCGACTGGGAAAACTTGGTTGTGTGTGTGTGTGTGTGTGTGTGTGTGTGTAAAACTTTAACTGAAAGATGAAACAAAAAGCCTAAATCTAGTCTTTGAAAATTAATATAAGGAAAAAATACTGAAGTAAAAACAAAAGGGCCACTATTTGGGATGAGTTGTCTATTATTTTGAATTTTTAGCAAATATAAATTGAGGAACTCCATTAAGAAAGGGAATTTTTACAAAAACAAGTGCATTATTTGACAAGGAGAATGCACACATTATAGTCCAGGGAAATAGCTTAGTCCCCTCCTTCCCTTTCTCCATCCCTCCCTCCAATCTTCCCCCCATGCCTCCTTTCCTTTTTTGGCAAAATATAAAATTTTATTGAGAGAAGAAACAAAAAAATCCTAAACTTAGCCTCTGAGATACAAGAATATAATATACAAAGAACTTAAGAGAAAATAAATCTTTTGGTCTGTTTTTGAGACAGGGTCTAGCTATGCAGTTCAGGCTGGCCTTGAGTTCACTCTACCCCAGGCTGGTCTTGAACTTGCAAGGATCCTCCAGCCTCAGCCTCCCGAGTACTGGGATTACAGGCATGCACCACCACGCCTGCCTGAGAAAATAAAATTATTAAAGAACAGACAAGAGCCAGTGCTTTGGCATGAGTCTACTCTTGGTTTCTAAACTTTTCAATTCTATGCACTTACAGTTGAAGAAAGAAGAAAGTTTGGCTTTATTAAATTCATGTTGTTTGTATTTTTCTATGCAGGCAATTAATATCTAGTAAAAAGCCAAGTGAAGTAAAAGTATTCAGTATTCCTTTTCCTCACATAACTTTTTGTCATTTTCTAGAAAAAAAAAGAAAAAGTATTAAATGTTTCTTACAGAGAAAGTAATTTCCAAAAATTTAAGTAAGGTTGTGTCTACTTTGTTCATCAGAGTGCTTTGGTAGTGAATTATTTATCCATTTATTTTAAATTAGAGTTACCAACTGCTGCACTGTATAGCCATATCAGCCTGAAACCTCCTGATCTTGTACGATCCTGGAAGCTAAGTAAGCATTGTCAGACCTGTGGGAGAGCAGGCATTACAGAATAGATTCCTTTTGCTGGTTTTTTAAATTTTGTTTTGCTTTTTTTTAGTATTTGTTGTATTTTTTAATTTCTGTGTGCTTGTTTATGTTTCTTGGTTTCTCCCAAAGGAAAATGTATGAAATAATTTCAACTGATATTTTTTGTTAAACATGATTTGCATTTTTTTAAAATTTGTAGTTCTGAATGTGGAACTTTAGTGTATAAGCTTTCTAAAAGTTGTCAAAAAGTACTGATACAAAATATTCTGTAAAGGGGCTGGGGATTTAGCTCAGTGGCACAGCACCTGCCTGGCAAGCTCAAGGTCATGAGTTTGATTCCCGGTACCAGAAAACAAAACAAAACAAAACAAATTCTGTAAATGTTTATATTAAAGTGTTTTAATTTTTGCAATTATTTTATGTAAATGATCATTTTTCATGCAATGATGATTTATCTAAGAGTGAGAGGGGCACAATGAAACAAACACTTTGCATTTCATATTTCTGGGAAGGTCACACTGTAAAGCTTCAATAATTTCATTTCTTCTCCACCTTACATAGTGGAAGCTGGTATCCCATCTTGATGGCAGTGTCAGATTAGAAAAATATGATTAATTAAACACTTAAAACTAAAGAAGGAAAAAACAATTCAGTGGTAGAGGGCCATGAAAGTTTATTACCTTTAAAATGTTTGATTTTTTTATTAAATAGTTTTACTCTAATTTTCCCTTTTTTGTGATCACCACTTCAATAAACATTGTATTTTAAAGAGAATAAAAAGAATTACCAAATAACAACATAAACAAAACCAAAACAAAACAAAAAGCAATAAAAATTCTGCAGGGTTTCAAAACATAATGATCGGAATGATTTAGTGAAAGGAACAGTTAATGCTTAATTTTTTAACCACTTTTGTATGCTTCTACCTGGTAATCTGAACAACTAAGTTGAAGACAACAATATGCAATATAACAACCATTGTTGAATTTCTGCCAATAAGCATTTTAATGCTACTATGGTATAGTACAAAATATAATGGCCTGCGAATATAAATTGGAGTATTCTGGTCTGAGTTCGTTGCTTTGTGATCTTGTAAGAATACCTGCAGAATCCCACATGAAGTCACACAGGAATAGGAAAAATTGGCTATAGTTTCTTTGCATGCTAATCTTGTCAAAATAAGTAAATTTTAATATGATATATCTTCATTTTAGTCAAGCCATGAAATAGGTCTTTTGAGAATTGAATAAAATAGTACATATGTGCTAAAAAATACTGGTTTTGTTCATATGTAGTAGAATTAATACCACCAAAGAGAGGGAGATAGTCTTCAATTCAAATTTTTTCATGAGATTGTTGATGTAAGATTATTTTAGCTGAGTGCGCTGGTGCATACCTGTAATCTCCAGCACTGAGGAGGCTTGAGGTTCTCTTAGGCTGCATAGAAAGTTTAAGGCCAGCCTCAAATATATACTAAGACCTTGTTCCAAAAATCCAAAAGAGGATTTTATTAGTACATACTACTTACACATAATAATGGGTATCATTCTGGCATATTCATAGAGATGCATGTAACAAATTTTGATTTTTTCTACCCTACCTGTTCCACTTTGCTCTGCTATCCCATTCTCCTTTAGAACCTTTCTCATCTCTTAATACTTTCTCTTCTATTTTCATTTCATTTTTCTTTTTAAAGATTCTGCATATGAGAAAAAATGGGATGTCTGTCTGAGTCTGGCTTATTTCACTTAATATGATCTCCACTTCCATTCATTTTCTTGCAAATTGCATGATTTCATTCTTTATAGCTGAGTCATCAGTGGGCACATGTAACAGCTGTTACATACTGCATTGCAATAAACATGAGTATACAGATATCTCTGTTTTACACTATAATTCTTTTCACGGAGAGACATACTTAAATCCCATTGTAGTTCTTATGTACATATTTGAGGAACAACTGACTTTTTATGTATTTGAGGAATATTGATTTTCACAGTGGCTGTATTAATTTACATTTCTACAGGTTTTTCCACAGATCCTCACAGGCATTTTCATTTTGTTTTTATTTTTGATGATAGCCATTCTGAGCAGGATGAGATGAAGTCTTAATGAAGTTTTAATGCACAGTTCCATAATGGTTGTATTCATTGGACATTTTCATATGTTTATTGGTCATTTGCACCACTCAGTTTTAAAAGTGTCTGTCCAGTCCATGTTCCCATTCATTATTTGGGCTCTTTCTTTATAGTTAACTTTTTTTAGTTCTTTATATATTCTGGATACTAATCCTATCATTCTATAGTCTTTCACTGTTTACTTTGCTGTGAGGAATCTTTTTAATTTGCTGCAATTCCTTTTATGAATTATTGGTATTACTTCCTGCGCTATTGGACTCCCATTCAGGAAGTCGTTGGCAGTGCCTATACCTTGAAGTGTTTTCTCCTATATTTTCTTCCAGCAGTTTCAAATTTTCATGTCTTATACTTAGGTCATTTGTGTTTTTGATTGATTTTTTTACAGAATGAAAGATACAGATCTAATTTTGATCTTTTATACATGGGTACCCAGTTTTTTGAGCACCATTAATTTAAATTTTTGTCATGGGGAAGAGTCCTTTATTCCAACTGTATGTTTTGGCCATGTTGTGCAAAATCAGATGAGATTGGACGTGTTCAGGGTGGTATGGCCGTAGACTAAAATCAGATGACTATAGTTTCATGGATTTGTTCTGATGTCCTCTATTCTATTCCATTGGTCTACATGTTTATTTTTATTATAGTAGCATATTATTTGTGTTACTATGGTTTTGTAGCTTATTTTGATATCAGATACTGTCATACTTACAGCATTGCTCTTTTTGATCAAGATTATGTTGGCAAAAATAAGTCTTTTGTGCTTCCACAGGAATTTTAGAATTATTTTTTCTATTTCTTGAAGACTGCCATTGATATTTTAATGGGAATTATGTTGAATGTGTAGAATACTTTAATAATATGGCCACTTGAAAAATGTGAATTATGCTGATCCATGAGTATGAGAGGTCTTTCCATCGTCTAGTGTCTTCTTCAGATTCTGACTTCATTGTAGTTTAAATTTTATTGTAGAGGTCTCTCCCCTCTTCTGTTCGGCTTATTCTGAGTATTTTTACTTTTTGAAGGTATTGTGAATTGAATTGTTTTCCTAATTCATTTTTTCAGTGGTTTCATTATTGTTGTATACAGAACAGTTATTGATTTTTATACCCTGGCCTTTTATACTGCCACTTTGCTAAATATGTTTTATCTAATGCACAAATCTTCTGGTAGAGTTTATGGGATCTTCTAAAAAAAGAAAGACATCATCTTTAAATAAGGATAATTTTACTTCTTCCTTCCCTATCTAGACACATTTAGATCTCTTGTGTTTTTCCCCTTGCCTACTTACTCTGCTACCCTTCAAAGTTCTATACTGCAGATGAGTGGGTGAAAGTGAATATCCTTGTCTTGTCCTTGACTTTAGAAGAAATGCTTTCAGTTTTTCCCCACTCAGCATTATGTTGGCTGCAGGGTTTTTATATATGGCCTATATTATATTGAGGTATTATCCTTGCATACCTATTTTAATTGAGCTTTGAACATAAAGGTATGTGGAATGTTGTGAAAAGCTGCATATATGCCAGTTTTTCCATCAACGAGCAATAATAGAACCCACACTAAAGGAGTATATTTGGTTCATGATTTCAGAGTGTTCAGTCCCTGCTTGGCTGGCATCAAGGCATAAATGGTATGGCAGGAGTGCCTGGTGGAAGAAAACTGCTTGGATGCTCATGGCATCCAAGTAGAGGAGCAAGGGAGAAAAAAGAGAACACTACATCCTCCAAAGGCACTTTCTCAGTTATCTCTTTCAAACATATCCCCACCTCTTTACAGCATATTCAGCTATAAATCCACCAATCATTAATCCATTATTGTGTATAATACCCCCATGATCCAGTCAACTTCCAAAAGCCCCACCTCTGAACATCAGACTTAAGGGGACAATTGTTTTTCG